TACAAATGTAATTTAATTCACACAAATTATGTCTAATAAACACAACCATTAAAAAAGTTCGAATTTTGTCTGATGACTAGTTACATATATAAACATGGATACTAATTTTTGTTTGATGATTTTCTCTATTCAGCACTATAATGAATAATGTGTTTCTTTAGGTTGTTTTTCTTTCAAAAACAGTTGAAACTTACTATTAAGTTTTGAAAAGGGTTGTTTAGCGACGGTTTATTTAAATATGGGGAACAATTATGAAACGAAGTAAAATAAGATAGTGACCGAGAAAAAATACTTATGAAATTGATCATATTTGAAAATCAAAGTTAAATGATGAAAAAGCAGAAGGAAAATTTCGAATCAGTCTATCAATTAAGAAAACATTTATTAATAATATGAACATGTACTTTAATTAAAGTTAACGTCAAATGCAGACATTACTGATATATATTGTATTCAGTTATTCGTTTCTTTTTATCAAATGGATATTTCTAATATATGACGAAACAAAAAAATACTTAGAATGTTAAGTTCGTTGCCATTTGAAAGGGCTTTTCTGTCAGCATTGACGCAAATATTTACAACAACGTAAAGTAACTTTATTTAATTAAAACGTGAGAAGTGTGTAACGCATTGATTAGAAAATCCTTAATCTATTCTGATTAATTTCGTGTAAGCTTAAACGCATGACAACTTATATGATGATTACAAAATGATGTGTACCTACACATATTGTTTGGCATGACATTATAGTTGTAGGTTGAAATACTGGTAAAGTTCATTCTTTTTTGTGCACAACATCAAGCCAAACCTTTACCAACAAACGACAAGATGCCACCATGACACTAACATTGTAATACAGCAAGCCATAGCAATAAGAAAAATGATAGCTTTTTAGTTTATTCCAATAAAAAGAAGCCCTTTCAATAATGTTTTATGGTGAAAGAAAATAGGCCATAACAAAGAAATAGTTGACATTTATGTTACCTCTTTATCAGAACTGTTTAATTTGTAAGCCTGAAATTAATTAACCAGGACATACATCAGCTTTTCAGGATATCGCACCTTAAGAGAGCAAATACTCCCTTTTTTGAACGAGTAATGTTTTATTTTATTTATGAAGAATGTGAGTCTGGCTTTCTTTAGGGATTCTGTTTTTCTCTATTTCTAAAAATATGCACCATTTCGCTACACATATATTTGAAGAAAATATGCTAATATACAAATCCTATAAATAAAATTCTTAATATAATTTTCCCATAAAAAAACAACAAAAATTGGCCCTTCCGACTTTAAGCATTGAAAAATAAGGCCATTGCACACAAACCTATCACAAACAAAACAATGCGAACATTTATCATCAAACCTAAAGTGTTTCTGTTTGAATATCTTAAAAATAAACTGCTTTTATGGATATGTACTACAGAAACAATTTATTTTGTGTTTTAGAATCAAGTCGGATTTTTGAAAAATGTGTTTTTATCGTTAAATATAAAGAATAAATCTTGGTGCTCCAGGAACGATAATATTTCACCCATTTACTGCTGACTGTAATATATATCTGTCGAATGGTTTTATTTTGTAAAGACTTTCTTATGATAAGGCTGTCTATGTTTCTCTGTCAATATACCTACCTATTCCGACATGATTGTGAAAGTCTGTGCCTGAAAATGAATATGAATAAGTAATTTGATGATTGGTAAATAAAGTTCCTTCCATAAATGTTTGTAAAGCAAAAGGAAAATATCACTGTTTTGCAAATATATGCACACGCTTCAAACATATGACAATTTTTAAACATATAACAATTTTTTATACAAAAGATAGGAAGTTTTGGCATGGCATTGTTTTCTTTAATGAATGATTTATCATACTTCTTATTCTATATCGGCGAGATTTAAATTACATAAACACAATGCACGAATATCGCGTTCTGAGATTATGCGTTATTGTAGAAGATCAGGTTTTAGAATATAATCTTTACAAAAATAACATTATTTATTATATACTTTCACTCATTTGTCTATATTTAATTCATGTATCTATCACCTTACAAATACGATAAGAAGAAAACTCCGTATCATTTACGAGTGTGATTAGGAATGACTTGATGGCGTAATGTTTAAATTCGAGGAAATATATATTAAAAGTGTTTTCGTTTCATCGCATATCCAGGCGGGTGTAGTACAAACGTTAACTATATCCATTTTAAAACAACATCACTTGTGTTGGTTTGAATGATTTAACGCTTGGACAGTTGACATTATGCATTTGGCGTCAAACAAACCTCAAGAGATATATTTCTATGTATTTTATAAGGGAAACCCAAAATCAATGCATGCTATTAAAGTGATGACAATAAAAAAAACCTACAAACCAGTCATATCGCAGATACTCTGACAAAATTTTTGCACAATGACAATAAAACCCATATTATCGCGAGAATCCATCAGTCAATTAATATATCGTATTTGATTGAAAACTAGTAATTCAAAATGAATTAGACCAAAGACGATAATAAATAGGTTGTTACAATAATATATCAAGTGCATAAAATAATCTTAATTGTTGAAAAGAATCCATTTCACAAAAGTTAAAAACAATTTATTATTTAAAAGATATCGACTCTCCATTTCTAGATTGAATTTGTTTTGGAATGAAATATGGAAGCATGCTTAATGAATTAGTTTTTGATTAAACAAAGACGATATAAAATGATTTATAAAGAAACATGTACGTGGTGCTTTCTTTATTAACTAATTGATAAATAATGCTATATAAGACATTTTAATAAGATTCAGTTACATTACTATCAACAGCGAGGAACATTTCATAGGGACATAAGGATAAATTACGTTTCTTGACTACATATCATTTTTCTCCTCTAGCAAATATTTTATTCATAAATGTCAGCACCATAATTTGTTTTGCAATATTTCAAAGGAAAGTTGGCTTTTATAACCATCTTTAAAAATAAAGAAAATGGTAAGGAGAGAAGCATCTCATCATAATTGCTAAATTGTAAAATTGTAGCTCAAAATTATCTTACACAAAGGATATTTTTGTCATTTATTTTCCTAAAAGAAAATGAAACATTTGCTCCTGGTAATGTGAAACATTAATGTCACCCAAAAGAACTACATGAAAAATAAAATTATTCATTTATCATTACCAATTTTCAAAATTTCTTAATTTAAAAAAAAACCAAAACATTTTTGAAAATAAATGAAAATGATAAAAGTTGATAGTGTTACTCTATAAAACATAAATTACATATAAAATAAATATAAGCCTTTTAGTTTGTTTATAACCTGAAAAGAGATGCTAAAGGCCCCAGGCTAACATGCCAGTCTTTAAATTATCAAAATTACTTTTCTCCTTTGAATTGGCCAAAACATACTTACTTGATGATTTCTATTTGCCATAAAAAGGTCATATTGTGGTCCTCAAGAAAATAGTTAAAATTGTTTTACATCAAACATATAACATATATCAAAATATATACATCGTCACAGAATACCCCTACCCTTAAAATTTTATCAACAAAAATTATATATAATGTCGTAGGATAATCATGCACACTTAAATTAAAATATGGCTGTATATATTTCATTCAGTATATTATCGAATGTAAGTCGTGCTGGTTTGGTAATTTAGAAATTTACCAGTGTTAAACATCTCAACAGAATAATTATTAAAAAGGAATTTAACGTAACAAAGCTAAAATGTTTGCATAATATCTCGAGTTTTCTAAAACAAGACGAAATTAAACTCAAAATAATTGCTTTTTGTTGTTGAAAACAATGACTCTACCTGCCACAAAATTAGCCTTTTCAAGTAAAATTAATGAAAATCCATGAATGTTCTAACAACTAGAAATAAAATGAAAAATATTGTATTTGCCAATATTCTACTTTTCAAATTATATAATTGTAAAGAATGCATTGTAGTGAAAATATCAATTTATAAATCAACAGCTGAATATAAATTGAACATTGTCGTTTTGAATAGCAAAAGCAGGAATGTAATAAAAGCAAAATGTCTCATTTCAAAATCTGTCTTTATTTTGTTATGAGATCGAATGCTTGCAATAATAAAATCGAACAAGCGATGCAGTTATTGTATTTTGCAATTGTAATGTTGATTCCACAACAAAATGTTATTGTTGTGCAGTCAGCAGTTAAAAGAGGGTTTAGGTTTCCATTATGTGAATAACAAATGAACTTATTTAAAAGAAACAGTCTGGATACATTTTTTTCAAATTCGTGAAATTTACAAGAAATTGCCAGAAACTATTCTCAAAATTGAATGTTTATAATATCATCAATGTTATCTACACTGTAGTTATATTTTTGCTTTCTTCAGGATCATTGATTCAAGGGGCTAGTTTCTCAAAGCTGTGCTAAATTTAACAGTCCGTTAAATCCACTTAATGTTGTGTTAAATTCTGTTGCTCAAAATTAACGCCCACTTTAACAGCCATTATAACAGCTGAATCCGTCTGTTGATTTAATCGAAGCTTGAACCTCCGTTATAATTTAAGTTTACGCTAAGTGTTAACAATTGAATACCACTTAAGTCAGTGCTAGGGAGCGTTTTCCCCATCAGACTCATGCAAACCGAGTCTACAATTTTTATGTATTATTATTGTTTTCAATGATTCCGAGGAACTTCTATTTTCTAGATTAAAAGAAAAATGCATCCGAAAGATTATAATATTGTTCGATTGTTGTTGTATTTAGGGAAAACCACTTTAATTAAAAAAAAGCTATATGAAATAGTTTCGTATTAATATGGATCTAATTAGAGATGTATTAACAATTATGTAAACAGCTAGAGTTTATACTATAATAATATAGTTATATGTAAAAAACTTTTTGCGATTAGCAATATTTTTTCAATCATACAATTATAAATCCTCGAATAGTAAGATTTTTTTGAAATTGTACGATTGTACTGTGCAAGTATCAATGCTTTGAATATATTTGCATCTATATTTTCAGTCATGGGAGCCCCGTCTGACAGATTTTCAGAAGAAGAGGTCAGTACATATTTTCAAACATTTACTTTCCATTTTATCATAATGATTATAACCATTTTATTTTCTCATTCTTGTTGAACGTTTTCAACAATCCTCCCGTAATAATGTCAATCCTATGATATTTCGAATTGACTTGAATTTTAACAGAAATAATCATTTTTGAACGTATAGCATACAAAGGAATTAATTTGCTATTTTTTAGCGTGAAGAAACTATATCAACATTACTGTGTGTAAGATATATACTGATTTGTAAAGCAGTATCTAAAAACAACAAATTCTAAGCATAATTTGCGAAATAAATAATGAAACTAACTGTTAAAAAATCCCTATTCTCACAAAATTCATTCATGCCAGGAAAATAGCGAGTTCTCAGTTTCAAGTTAATTTCTCTCGGGGCCATATATCTTATCGCAACTTAAGTTTAAAGTGATGATAAACTCTCACTCATTTTCTCAGAATTAGCTCAATGAACTGTTTGTTTGTTTCACAGGGAGATTCAGTCGAGCAAGAACTAATTAGGAATCATCATTCAACTGCAGCAGAGCGCCGATTAAAATCTAAAGCTAGACAGTTCTCATCTGATTTGGACGAATCGTCTCCTATAGAGAGCATAGAAGACATTGAGGAATCTGAAGATGACGACGACAGATCAATCACGGAAGACGAGATATATGACATCACAGTTGGTGACGTAATACGTGACGTTTTAATTACACTGAGGGATAATCCAGATATAGTAAAACAGCTGATTGCAAGTGAGTAAGAACTTATTTAATTGAAGTGTTTGTATCATTTAACTTGAACGAGGGATATACTAGTCAACTAAATTTTGAATACTTTCAGTGGAGAATATAATGTCTGGAAAAGATAATTACGCTTTTCAAATTTATAATCTTTTTGACATAATGATTAATAGTTCCCAAGTCTATAAATGTGCATTCTTAGATATGATATTTGTTTGTACAATCTTCACGTTTATAGGTGAGAAGGCAAAACTATCAGAGCAGATTGATGCATTCAACAACCTTGTTGATGGGGACTCTGCAGGAGATAGCCTTGCTGGATATATGAAACCTGCAGAACAACTAAAATCTGTAAATGTTTACATGTATTTTTCCACTATCTCCGGACGATCAAACTTATTTTTTTCCAGTTTCTCTTCAATCTCACTGCCTGTCAATCTGTTTTATTTAATAACTGTCTACAAGTATCCAATAAAAAATAGCAAACCGTTGGTCTATGGTCTATGCTACTAGAAATTAGAAAAAGTAATGTGCTTAAGCGAAATGTAAATATAATTTAAAGAAAGGCAAAGATAGCTTGACATTTATATATTAAACTGCAATCTACTGTATGACTTGAATTGCCGCTTTGCATATAGTTTACTACACATTATCATTCTCATTAGGACGTGTTACACCACAGTATGACTTTTTACTTATGCCTCAATTGATGTATATACAGAGTATGCCCTTTCTCTGTTATCTGCTATGCCTAATTATCATTATATAATTATATGATACTGATAAATTCACAGTGTGTGTAATGATATTTTGAGGCGTCTTTTTTCATTGAAAGTGATGTCACATTATATTTTTTATTTCTTCAGTTACCAAAGAGTGTTGAAAAGAAAACTGGACGCTCCGGAATGCCCGTTGTACCCGGTAAGATATTAATTCATTTACTAAATTCACTCATTAGTTAAAATACTTGAGACAACCCAACTTATACTATCAGTTTGTGTACTTTAAACACAAACAAACAGGTTACATATTTTTTGCCGAAGATTAAGAAAAAAAGCTTCATGTTATCAAAGTTTTTGTTCTCATTATGCTGATATCTCCGGAAAACAATTATAATTGTTATAATTCGTGCATCTTGTCACTTAAATACCATTTTAATGTATTTTTTGATAATTTTTGTACGGACTTTAAAAAAAACAAAAAAGGACGATATTGAAAAGAAAAAAAAAGTAATACAGAAAACAGAAACCCCATGGAAACACCATCGCGGCAAAATTGTAAAATGTTGCAGGCTCGGTTTGATTAAGCCTGTTCATGGACGGTATTGCCAAGTGCAAACTACCGTCCACGCCCCTAGGACCCTTAGCAACGGCTTAAGATGGATTCAACATTTAAACACAAAAACGGTGAAATTTTGAATTTAGAAACATCCACAGATGTGTTCATAGTAAGACGAGCAATTTAAACACATATGTGCAGAATTTGCATGTATGAATTGTACTTTTTTCAAATAAATGGAAGAAACAAACCTGTCGCATGATAACGCCTTTATTATGTTTATCTTATCCAGGGTTTACAGAAAAGAAAGACGTTTTTCTAGACTTTTATCGTGTAGCTTCAATATTACGAATGAAATTTTGCAGAATTAAGAGATACTTCATTCTAGAAAATCATGTCCGTATAATCGAAAGCTATAAAAAATAACGTGTACTTTCATTCCTTGCATAAGATAATAATATATTCAAATGTATTTACTGGAGCAGTTAGTGATCTATAATAAAACTGATAAAGTTATTTTCATAGAAAATATCGTTTCTATTTTTTCTTGAGGGGACGTGTTTAAATACACTAACGAACTTTCCTACGCATTTCTTCATGATTTCCCAATAACATTAGTTCTATCACTTTACTGAGATACTTTTATGATGTATTAAGAAATTCTATAATTAAAGAACTTCCACGGGAGCAATATGTCTATATCATAAGGTGACATTATTTTCAATTTTTCTGTGTCCTTGACAAGATCTTTCTTAAAGACGTTTTCCGGAGTTTTCATATAGACTTATAGGCAAAATTGAAACTGTGTAATAGAATTTCTTTAAACTTTGCATGTTATTAGAATATGATAACAGAAACATTTTAAACGAATTTGACTTTATTCTTTTAGTGTTTCAAGCAAAAGAGGTTAGTTGTGGTCCTAGTCTGGTTTGGTTTGGTTACAGTATATTTTTTGTTCAAATAAAATGATTAACTAACATTCAATTTATTTATAAATCCATACACAGAAAAATGCTTTGTGCTATAAAATGATTTTAATAAGAAATATTAGTTATATAAATGGTCGGACAGGTCGGTAAACAGGTAAAAATATAATTACCTTGACATGTTGTCATTATTTGTCCAATTCTACATTTAACTATGAAAAATTAATCAGTTATCAATGTGACCAACGAACATTTTTACAACATACGTTCATTGAACGAATGTATCAGTAGCGATCAATTCGTAAAAAGATAGACGGAAAGTCTTTTTATAATTTAAGTAGCTTTATATTGTACACATGAAAATTTTTCATTATCAAATATTGGACAATTACAACCTCAATAGCTAATCTTTTTAAATAACTTGACAGCGAAAAAAATAAATTAGCATTATGTCACTTTAAAAGTTTGGGAATATTTGCAGTGTAAATATATATAAATCCAGAAATGGTTTATACACGTAGAATAGCTTAAACATCTGTAAAGTGTTATAATTCACAAACATTTTTTAAATGTTAAATGCAGAACATAATTTTGTAAACGCCTGTAACATTTTTAAATGTTTTTTTTTCAAAGTCTTTTCGCCTTCTTCTGCGAAGATTAATCACGAAATAAGCCGACACAATGTGACTATAAACAGTCATTTAATATTTTCTATCTCCAACAGGGGAGATACAGGTGTCAGAAAAGCGAGCAGACGAAGTTATAAATGATGAATACACACGCGATGCAGACACACGGGAATCAGAAGAGTACAAAGATTTCTTGATACAACCAGAGGAGGGTGGAAAAGACGACCCAATGTTTGATAATGAAAAATCAAAACTTAAAGAATCTGAAGAATCACCGGTGTCAAAAAGCAATGATGACGACAACGAGTCAGAATCAGATTCAGGAGAAGTATGTATTGTTTAAATTACACACATATTTGTTTGTTTGCTTGATTGGGTTTTACGTCACACCGACACAGAATAGGTCATATGGCGACGTTCCAGTTTTACTGGTGGAGGAAGACCTCATATGCCCCTCCGTGCATTATTTTAGAAGAAACAAATAAGTTTAACTTCATTTAGGGAAATAGAATACATCTTTTCATATTTTTTCCAGAACTCTTTGCGGTTACCATACAGATTCCCATTTTTAAACCCACGCCATATGTTTAAAAGTTTTGGACGATTATCTGAAGAAGAACAACATTCGTCAGAGGACACAGGTGATCAAAACGAACAATCAGACGAAACACGTGAACATGATTCATCGACAGAGAATGATGATAGCCACTTTCATAAAACAGTACTATAATTAATTCAATTTTTGTAACTCTTAATATAATGTTTATGAATTATTTAAAGATTTATTATCTTTACACTTATTGAAATATTTTCTTTATGAAAATTAAACTTTCTGCAAACATTTGCAAATCGTCTATAATCATAATCACGAGACTACAATACTTCATAAATCGACCACAAGAAAATTAAAACGGTATATCCAAATTATTTAGTTATATCATAAACACTTCTAACATTTTAATCATTTATGCACCAGATCTATTAGTAACAAAAGTATTCTTTTGAATATTTGTATGATTATCTTTACGATTTTATTTTCATTTATAGAACAAAATGTCTACAGTGTTAGAAAAAAGACGTGCAAAAACTGAAGACCAAGATTCAAAGAACATGAACAGCAACAGTGATAATATGAAAATGTAATTAAATAGAAACGAATGAAAAAACGACAGATTGGAAGGAAAATAAATATGTACTTTATAAATCACCATTCACTAACTATTTAATAACTTAATTTTTTTTTGGTAAAAAAATTGTAATTTTTTTTGGTAAAAAATTGTAAATATGTTATCATAAAGATCTATGACTCACTACCGATCTTATTTATGATAATATTCCATCATTAATAAAGAGTGTGCGTATATCAATATTTATTGAATAGTTTACGGAGATTTATTAGAATATTCCTTGTTTGTGATAATACAATGCTTAATGGGAACATATTCGGCAGAGAATATATAGTCGTTAAAACATATCTATTTGGTGCGTTAAATATTTTAAATGTTGTATATAAGACTTTCTTTCTTACTCTAAAACTTTTCTTTTTAAGTATATTGCTAATTTCTACTTCCTTTGTATACTTTGTAGTAGTCAAGTTATCATAGGAATGTTATACTTCTTGGAAGTAATTCAATATGCTAAGACAAAAATATTTTTACACTATGAATGTTTTGCTTTTGAAACAATACAAAATGCACTTAACTGCACATATTCATCATGTTAACGTAGAGCTCATTTTTTAAAATAAAGCGAGGTTCCATGATGCCTTTTTATCCACATGAAAATATTTGCCTTTTACTTTTATTCCTAACATTGTTTAAACTGAAATATATACTACTGTTTGTTCACTTCGAGTTTGCTCTGATATTTCCCGTTCAAGTGACATCTTTGATTTAAGATGGTGAAAACAATTTGCCAGATACACTTTAAGATAAATCGGACTGTATTCTTTAGATTTTAAGTTTTAGGTAAACTTCATATTTTAACGTATGTTTTCAACTTATTCACTATTGTTTTTGAAAACTGTCATAACAAATAATTTTTGTAACAGTAGCTATACTGAAATCTATACTGGCATGCGAGCAGTTCCCGTACAGAAGCAGTACCCGTATTTTTCATTTAAACGCTTGATTTTTACTTGCATTCTTTAAAAATTCATTTCAAATCAAGCAAATACATAATACGAGACGGTCTTACCTTAAAATCTAGGTTGGCTAGATTATTAGGGTTACAATTTAGAATGTAAATTGTAGTCTCTGAAACTAAAAAACAATTGTATAAACTGGTTAAATCTCGTACGAGTAACTAGTCTCCTAAGTCAATCAAAATAAAATAAATATACCTTAGAGGCCTTTGTGCATGTTTGTACACTAAATCCTCTGAAATATGTAAAACCTCGCATTTGTAAATCTAAGCATAAATCTTAAATGTGGCCTGAATAAAGTGGACCTCTACAAATGTTATATGAGTCATTAGCCTTGTGTCAAAAATGGTCCGATCGAAGCAACCTTTGTTCACAAGGCATATAATTGGAATGAACATTACCTCAGTCTTTTATCAAATTATATTTATCATGTATCAGTCAAAATATGCCCCGCGCTTAGGTCACTTATTTAGCGTTGTTCTACATAGAGACATATGGCATAGAGCTTATATATTTGGAATGTAGCATTTCTAAGTGGATCTCAACGAATGCAATTTGAGTCACGCCATTAGTTGAAAAATGGTCCAAAGAGTTACTTTTTTATTTGGAATTATAGAGAATAGAAAGAACCAAATTCCTCCCTAACTAAAATTGTTGCAGTCTTGGTTTGATTGAGCCAGTTCATAGACAAAAGTTCAAAGTAAAAACAAGTTACCGTTCACGACTCTTTAGAATGGCTTAAGCAGAATACAAAATTATAAAATTAGAAACATTCTTATGTTATAACATTTTAACACGTCCAATAATGTTATCAACACTGAAAATATTTTACATATCATATTATTAATCTATGTGATGTAATCGACAATATAAATTGAATACTTAGTAATAAGAACCCAACAATATTAGACAATTCTCTTTTAAAAGTGACTCATACATTATTTCCTATTATAAAATAATGATTTGGGAATACAAATGTAGGTAATCGATCAGATCACATTCCCACTGCTTATTTTATGACAGATAATAATTTATATGGTAATAATGCGAGACAATGTTACTAGCTGTGATATAATATCCACGCTTACATAGGCCACTTATCAGGCAATTTAGATAGATCTAAAATTGGTGTTCGGATCATGTAATAATAGCTCTATCGAAAGTTGGTATTAGGTTATCCTTCAGGCATATATGTCTGATTACTTTTTCCTATACAGCTTTACAATTTTTCCCAGGATTGTACTCTACAAAGGCAATTGTCGGTCGTGCTAAAATGAAAGCAAATGCATTAAAAATAAGGTATATAAAATGATAGTGTCAAAATATGAAACTTGTAAGTTTAAATTATAATGCAGATCAGGTTATAGTTATGCCTTTTTGTGTCATTGCGTTTGTTACTATAAATTGCTTAAATAAGTATTTTTTCAAAACATATGCACACCATATTAAAAGGTGGGTGCATGTCTTTAGATGATCCAACGTATTTCAAGTAAAAAAAACTAAAAAAAAAATGCACTAATTTAACTTTTTAAAAAAGTTAACAGATTCAATATTCGAGTAACAATTTACATGTTTATGCGATCAATGACTGATTTTGCAGTATTTTTCAGCACATTACTACTTCTTGACCAACGCAATAATGATAATTTTTGCATATTTTCACCTCTTGGTGTAATTAACGTGGTTTGTATTCTATGTACCGGTTGCAATGTGTGTAAAATACTTTCTTTGTGCACTTTATGATATTCTAATCCAAAATACAGTTTCATTTTTTTATGAAAATAAACATGAATTTGGAGGCATACCGGTTTAAGATTAAGATAGAACATGGACACTGCTATTTAATGTTTGGTAGTAAACGAACGTTTAATTGCTTGGAGCGCTACAACACATTCCACAGGCTTGGGAGTGAAAACAACATTGTTAATATATACACTAATAGTCAAGGGAATTAATAACATTCAGCATTAACAACGTGTTGTATTTCATTAAATGCTTTCTAAATCCTGACCTACTTTTCCATTATTTATCATCGCTTCTATATCTTATAACAATGAAGATCTCTTGAATAGGGCTTGAATATCATGTTTATTTCACGATTTTTGTTGGAAGAATTTCCATCATGAACATATGATAACTAAATCATACAATTAATCATCGATTGTTGCATCAAAAAAAAGTTGCCGTTCATATACATTCTGACAAGAAATTAAGAAAGCACAATAATCATCTAGATTATAACAAGAGCAAACAGTAAAAATGATCTGATTTTATCACAATATTTACGCATGTAAAACAAACATTATATTTGACTTATATATATTATTTTTTATTATACAGTTTTTCTAATTTTGATAGAAAGAGAGATTTAACTTTGACTTACGAGGGATCACCTATTTTCCAGTTTTTTTAAATGTATATAATATTTCGACATTGACTTGCTTTTAAGTCATTTTAGTCTACAAAGATAAACTGGTAATCTTCACAATTATAATACTTTACATAAGGTTAAGATTAATGAAAAAAAACTGGAAAAAATTAAAACATTACTTATTTTTCTATTTCAAAATGTAAGCTGCGTTTGTATAACACTTCAATTTAATTATGTTTCATCGTATTACTTCTAAGATAACAAAATAAGATTTCCATGAAGAAAGTCCAAAACAAAAACATTACAAGTGTTGCAGACTCGGTTTGATTGCGCCTGTTCATGGACGGTGATGTCAAGTGCAATCTACCGTCCACGCCCTCTAGCACCGGCTTAAGCATTATTCAAAATTTAAACTTGAAAATGGTGAAAATTTGAATTTAGAATCATCAGCAGATGTGTTCATACTGTTGTTATCATAGAATCTTAAATGCGACTCTTTGGTGCCATTTTATGAAAAGCGGCGCATGGTCCCAAAGTAAAAGACCTAAACGAGAACACAATGGGCGGAACTAAACACAATAGAATTTTGAAAGGGGATCAGTGGTTATGAAGCCTGCATATCACAGGTAAAACCATACAAAAATACACTCTGGATCAGATGCATTTCTAATTGAATCGAAGTATGGATGATGATGGACATAAATTTACTCAGTTTCGGAATAACATATTTCCATATATTATTGTGCTATAATCTTGTGTTATACACGAAAAAAAAAACAGTGACAACGCAAGCACAAAATTAAAAAAAAGCCGAATTCTATCAATGTTCAATGCGAGTGTGAAAAATTACATCTTAATTGTGAAACGTTAAGACTATCTTATACGAAATGAAAGGTTTACTTACTTGCAACTATTGGTTATGTAACAATACTTGAAACAATCCACCATGTTACCATATGCTTTATTCATTATTCATGGATTAATTGTATCCCTACGGCAGATCGAATAATAGTTTAATCAATCTTTCTATAATGTACAACTTGAAAAAGGCGTTGTGGTGAAATAACCGTAGACTTAATCAAAATATGTCCAGGTTTTCGATTTCCTTCGACGGCTAAGATTTTCGATAAATAGATAACTTCAAACTTCAATTTTGTAAAAGTAAAAAAAGACCTTTGTATAATTCTAAATCTTTGTTTTAAGCCCCTTATCAAAACAACGATTTCCTATTAGACACAGTAATTGATAAATTGTAAATATAAATGTGAAAATAATTTCATTATTGCGTTTTTCAATGTTGGAAATGATAAGTAGAAATAAAAAAAATTTCAGTTAAATGATATTGATATATATTGCAAATATGTACTTTGATAAATGATAATTCATATTCATTCATAAGGAAAATATTATCTTAAATCCATACTTACAAAGTTTTGTTACTTGTTAAATAAATATAAGTTCTGGAAATGGGAAAATATTGTTAATTGTGTCTAAAATTAACTCTTGCAACTATTTAATCAAACATGAATAAGCAAAAATGTTAAATATTAGTTCCATTACTTCATTTATTATGCATGATCCAATTTCTACAATAAAACATCATATTACTGCGTAATATTCGTCGAAGTTAATATGAATAATATGATATTTCTATGTATTAAGTATAGAAGCAATGACAAATTATAAACTAGGTCGCATTGAATAGCAGCTGTGAAAAGCTTGATTCCATTCTTTATAATTGAGGAAGTTAGACTATGTCAGAACACGATTGTATTAGTTTGAAGTACTAGCATGCATGCAATAAATCAGCATTCTTGCATAACAAGTTATTCATATTTCATATTACTTTTGGCTTTGGTGTTTTTTCTTGCATAAACAATCTGTTAATGTTAAACATCAAAAGAAAACAACACTGTATCGAAAATTTTGTATTAAAATTGCACATATTTTCCAATTGATTTATTTGATGACAGAAGTCATGTTAGAAAATAGCGTACAAGAATGTCAGAACACATGTTCTACTTAAGTATGACTTTGAAAATAATCAATTATAAATGCCTTGAAAATGTAAAAATACATATATGTCAGCCGTAACCAGCATGGGAAGTACATTAGTAATGTAATATGTATATCAAATTTGTATATTTTTAAATTATTTTAAAGGTGAAGGCCCCGTTTACTGTTGTGTATTCTAATGGTTTACCATATATTTCTTTCTCTGTTTCTTTGTTATGTCACTTTATTCTGCCGCTTTAATGAAATAATGTTATTATCTTTGAATCTTTAATGACCAAACTTCCTGAAAAATAAATTCTAAAAAAACAACAAAAAACAAAAACAACAACAAAAAACAACCGGCTAAAAATCAGATATTATACCCACAGCAATTGTTGTTTGACATTTAAAAGCTAATGGAACATGATATTTCCTGGGGGCTTAATCTGACTTGTTTTTGTAAAATGTTTTATCAGATTTAACAGAAAAAACGATGTTCTTTTTGTTACTCAATTATAAATCACAAAAGAAACACTTTCTGATTTCTTAGCGTCA